AGGTTGATTAAAGCTTTAGATTGACAGGTCTGATGCTGAAGCCATTGCCTCGAGCAAAGCTGGAGGCAAGAGTAATGAGGTCCCAGTTTCAATTGATGGTTGTGCCAAGTTTAACAGCTTGATCGAGGTTTCTGCAGTGCTTGGGAGGAGGGTGAAGGGAGGGAAGAAAACGAGAGTTTCTGTTTTTAATCATTACCCATGGAATGCAGTTGGAGGCTGCACTTTTGGATGTTGGGGGAAGGACAGGATATATTTGCCGTACTCCTCACAATCAAAATAGCCAACACTCATGGTCTAACCTCATACATACAAGAATGGCAACTTGACTGAAGTACTCCAGAGTGAACAGCATCTGTAGAACTGTACTGCATCACAAATAAGCAATTTCAGTTGAAGTTTAGGGAAAGAAAACAGTTAATGTTTCAAATGTACCATTAGAACTGTTCCTTTCAACCATTAGCAGGTCATCTTGTTCTTCATTTCTGATCCATCAGCACACATTTTCTCCAAGTCTAGTCTCCGAAAGAAATGGTCTTACAAGAGATCTTGCATGCAGCTGAATCAATCCAGCGGGGAAAGCTAGTTTAACACTGTCAACAGCAATAACAGGAACTAGTTTATCATAAATCAACAGAAAAAAAGAGGGTATTTGGGGAAAATAAATGCTGTTTTCCAACCTCTGCCAAAAATGTAACTTCTTTATCCTTTTAAGTTTCACAGTCCAAGAAACCGTGCTTCACCCCTAATGCCTCAACACCTGGGCCAATAGAAATATGAGGAAATATTTGCCAAAAATTGCGGGGGGTCGGGTCGGGGGGGGGGGGGGGTCGGGAGAGGACACGGGCTGCAGAGTTCTGGATTATCTGCAGTCTGTGGAGGGAGGAGTTGGGAAGGCCGACAGCAGGGCGTTTGCATAGTCGAGCCGGGAGGTGATGAAGGCATGAACAAGAGTTTCAGTGGCCTGAGGTAGTGGCGGAGTCAGGCGACAATCACCGAAACTGCAACTGCTGAAAGAAATTTTAATTACTGATGGTCGGGAGGGATGGCGGTGGGAAATAGAGAAATGAAAGGTCAAATTCAGTGAATCTTTAAGAGAAAATGTTAATTTGTTTGCCTTTCATGGATGAACATGCTACCAAACTGCACCTTAGGCTAAAAGAGAATTCTCCCAGGGCAACACACCTTTGAACAAACAAGTTGGCCAAGGAAGAGTTGCAGCAGAAAATCAGAAGAGAAAAACGCAGCAGAAAATCAGAAGAGAAAAACGCAGTATACCTCCATCTAGATGCCAATGAACAGTCTTACTATTGAGAGCATAAAGCTGAAAAGTCACTCCCACAAAGCAGCTTTCAGTCTTTATTGCCGCAAAAAAAGCAAGCAGCTTGGACAGTACCAATCAGCCTTAATTTGGTCAGGAGCATTTGAATTTGCTCAGAATAATTTTGAATAAGAAATAATTAAACAAAAATAAGGCTATTGGTAGACATGATCCATTTTCTAACAATAGCATAGCAATTTTTTTTAAAATGAGCTTGGTTCAGATAAGAATCTCTAAAGTCTCCCTTCTATGACGTTGGCAAGTGTATTAATGTCGAGACAAAAGCAATTCTTAGAGTTTTAAAAGCATTTTAAAGGTAAAAAGCTGATTATATCTAGAAAGATCCTGCAGCAGAAACAATTACTTCTAAAAGGTAAAAATAGCTATGCTCTCATGACTATATTACAAACTATTTAAAATAAACTAGTTTTCTGTAGCGCCTTTTATGTCGGGAGGCACTAGACAGATAGGGGTTTTCAACCGAGCTCAGGGTTGGATTCGGGAAGGGTGGTGGGGGAGGGGGTAAAGATGACCGAAAGTGCAGTCAAAGAGGAAGATCTGAAGATGGACCTTGAAGGAGTTGAGGAAAGAGGTGAGACAAGAGTGGGGCAGAGGCTGGAATTCCAACTGCTGATGGTAGGGAAGGCAGGGCAAGGGATATGAAGCAGGCCAGTGCCTGCCAAGCAGAGGGAGTCAGCAGGTTGGTTGGGTTTACAGTCACAGAAGCAGAGTGGGACATGACCATTTAAAAGTGAAGGAGAGGATCTTGAACTCAATCATCTGGGGGATAAGGAGCCAGTGCCGGGCAAGAATGGGAGCAATAGGTTTCTGGAGCCTATGTAGGAGAGACATGAGCTGCAGCAGTCCAGATGGTCTGCAGCTTGTGGAGAGAAGAGTGGGGAAGTCTCGCAAGCTAAAAGCTGTCCAGCCTGGACATGGTGAATGCATGGATAAGGGTCTTGGTGACCAATAGAGAGAGGTAATGGGGAGACAGGCAATGTCGCAGAGATGGGAGAAAGCTGGACGGTTAGGGCATGGATGTGGGGTTTAAAGGACAGTTGAAAGTTAAACAAGACACAGAGGTTCCGTACTAGCTGAGAGGTGGAATGGAAATCCGTGTATATTATTGCCGTCAGCGACAAATGGGAAGTGTTGACGGGAGCCAAGGTGTTAACTGAAGAAAGTTAGCTTTCAATGGGCAGGCAATTGTTCAGAACAGCAGTGGTCCAGGAATCAATGGGGGCGAGGCTGAGGTGTGAAAGTTAATCCCATGCCTGTGGATGACAAACCAAGCAGGAGCACGTTGATATAGAGAAGACGGAGGATATGGAGCCTTAAGGAACACACCACATTTTTTCCATCTTAGCAAGAAGTTTATGGTACACCAATGGCTTACTTTATACCTTTCCTGGATATATATTTACTTCAGTAATGCACTAGTTTAGTTGGTGTCATGGTTCACAGTTTCAAGAGCTTGCATAATAACCAACAATATTTCACAACCACAACAAAATCAGACCCCATTAGTATTGGAATCAGTAGACACTTGCCACATTTGAAGAAACATAGCTGAATCACATCTTGGCACTTTATACTGACCACAAACCCCCGATATAAATTCACATAAGCACCCGCATTAAAACATTACCAACTGGAAATGAAATACACCAATCACAGCAAAAACTTTAGACAGGGTAAAAACAGTTAGCAGCCCTATTAGATCAAACATGTACAAAGGATCATATTCAAATACTAACGAAGATGCTTACTGATCTGCAGCCTATATCCAGTATATTTAATCATTCATTTCCTCTCCACACCAGGTTGCAATTCAGGAGGAAAGGCACGGGATGATACCTGCTGCAAGACACTACCTGGAGTCACGAACACACATATCCAGGGCTTGGAATCCATCTGAATTGGTGTGGGGGAGAGATAAGCAGCTGCTGCTCAAACTCTGCACTACCAACTGGTGGAACCATCGTTCAAGGGGGAAGAATGTGTGTCCAAGCTGTGAGCAGAAGATTGTTGCAATGCTCAACATATTTTACACTGAGCTTCTCATCGGAAAGCTCACATGGAGTTCCTGTGAGAGCTCAAATATGCATTTGTCAGATCTCAAATGGCCAGCAACTGATCATCTGGGGCGGGGGGGGGGGGAGAAGAAAGAGGGAAAATGTAAGCAGCGTCTCCTTGGGGCCAAGCTGGCTCCAAGCTTGCTTACAGAATGTAAGAATTAATGTTCTGTGGTGATGTTGGTAGTTCTCGTCCTGAGCGAGGCGGATTCACAGAACTCCGAAGCATTACCGCGGTATCACAGACCAGCCAACCTGTCTCATCAGCAGGACTTGAAACGGGCAGATCATTCATTGGGGGGAAATGATCGATCCCCACTTCAGTTAGCCATGCAAGCCTAAGCCCCAACAAATAAGTTGGTCCAAGCTGGACAAGAGCAGGAGCCTGGCAGGCAATACTCACTTTAACAAGCAGTTTTACCTGATTGCACTCCAGCAATACCCCAATGTCCCCAAGCCTTGCTGCTTACCAATCTGCATCCAATAATTTCCAGAATTAAGTTTACAGGGTGCTTCCTTCCAGGAAGATAGTGCACACTCCATTTCAGACAGTGATGTTTCCATGCAGACCGTGAGACTGTGCATCAGTCATTACAGCAACCGACAAGACCGCCCCTCAGTCAGTCACTCATTACATCAGCCCCTGAGAGCAACAGTCCATCACTAAACTGATCCAAGAGACTCTTGTCAGCCATGCATTACACAAGACCTCAACGCAGTCACTACACCAGCCAGTGAGACCATCCATCACTCAGTCAGTGCACCAGCCCATGGGACAGTGAGTCACACATCACTGCACTAGCTAGGGAGACCCTCAGTCAGTCACTACACTAGCCCATGAGGCCCTCAGTCAGTCACTACACTAGCCCATGGGACACTCAGTCAGTCACTACACTAGCCCATGGGACACTCAGTCAGTCACTACACTAGCCCATGGGACACTCAGTCAGTCACTACACTAGCCCATGGGACACTCAGTCAGTCTCTACACTAGCCCATGGGACACTCAGTCAGTCACTACACTAGCCCATGAGACCTTGTCAGTCACTACACTAGCCCATGAGACCCTGTCAGTCACTACACTAGCCCATGGGACCCTGTCAGTCACTACACCGCAGTTAGACCCACACACCGCGGACAGCCGAGCCCCCGGGGCCGTGTGGCCGAGCCCCCCCCCTGGGGCTGTGGGGCCGTGTGGCCGAGCCCCCCCCCTGGGGCTGTGTGGCCGAGCCCCCCCCCCCGGGGCTGTGTGGCCGAGCCCCCCCCCCGGGGCTGTGTGGCCGAGCCCCCCCCCGGGGCTGTGTGGCCGAGCCCCCCCCCCGGGGGCTGTGTGGCCGAGCCCCCCCCCCCGGGGCTGTGTGGCCGAGCCCCCCCCCCGGGGCTGTGGCCGAGCCCCCCCCCCCCCCGGGGCTGTGTGGCCGAGCCCCCCCCCCCCCCCGGGGCTGTGTGGCCGAGCCCCCCCCCCCCGGGGCTGTGTGGCCGAGCCCCCCCCCCCCCCGGGGCTGTGTGGCCGAGCCCCCCCCCGGGGCTGTGTGGCCGAGCCCCCCCCGGGGCTGTGTGCCCCCCCCCGGGGCGGTTTCCCAGGTGACGGGGAGCCGCGGCCTCACCTTGTCGCCGTCGGTGGCCGCGGGGTCGGGGCTCGGTGTCAGCGGCTCCTTCTCCGCCGAGAGCGGATGCGAGACGTCGTGGATAGACCTTTGCCCCGAGGAGTGCAGTGATTTACACCAGACCCCGCTCATGGCGCCCGAGTCGCCGCTGCCCACCGCCTCCATCACATCACCAGGCGCCGCGCGGCCCCCGCCTCCCCGCCGCCTCTTATCAGCCGCACCGCGCAGGACAGGAAGTCGCCGCCCGCCGAGCCCCCCCCCCTCCCCACCTGTCAGCCCGCACTGCTCACCCACTCCTCCCGGCCACCGGGGGGCGCTGTCTCGCTCTCTCTGCCCCCTGTCAGCCCGCACTGCTCACCCACTCCTCCCGGCCATGGGGGGGCGCTGTCTCGCTCTCTCTGCCCTCTGTCAGCCCGCACTGCTCACCCACTCCTCCCGGCCATGGGGGGCGCTGTCTCGCTCTCTCTGGCCCCTGTCAGCCCGCACTGCTCACCCACTCCTCCAACAGCTGGGGGGCGCTGTCTCCCTCTTTACTCATGTCCTGGTGTCCAACGCTTTGCCTTTGCTTCGCCCCCGGAAGGCGCTGTCATGTCCCTCTCCGCACCCCCATCCCTCGGTTGTAGAATCACAGAATTGTGCAGCGCAGAAGGAGGCCATTCGGCCCATCGGGTCTGTGTTGGCTCTTTGAAAAGAGCTTCCAAATCAATCCACTCCCCATATTCCCGCAAACGTGTCCTCCCCAAATAATTATCTACTTCTCCCTTAAAAGTTGTTATTGAATCGGCTTCCACCGCCCTTTCAGGCAATGCATTCCAGATCCGAACAATTCGCTGTGTGAAAAAATTTCTCACCTCCCCTCTGTTTCTTTTAACAACTATTTTAAATCGGTGTCTCCACGTTACTGACCCGCCCGCCAGTGGGAATAGTTTCTCTGTGTTCATCCTATTGAATTACCTCATAATTTTGAAAACTTCTATTAAGTCTCCTCTTAACCTTCTCTGCTCCAAGGAGAATAACCCGAGCTTCTCTAGCCACTGATAACTGAAATCCCTCATTCCTGGTACCATCGTTTGCCCCCTCTCCAATGCCTTGACATCCTTCCTAAAGTGTAGTGCCCCAGAACTGAACACAGTCTCTCGCTGAGGTCTAACCAGTGTTTTGTAAAGGCTCATCATAACTTCCCGACTTTTGTATTCTATGCCCTATTTATAAAGTCTAATATCCCATATACATTTTTAACAGCTTTATCTCCCTGTCCTGCCACCTTCAAAGATTTACTTATATGACCCCCAGGTCTCTCTGTTCCTTCACCCCTTTAAAGATTGTACCATCGGCGTATATCGCCTCTCCTCATTCTTCCTCCCAAAATGCATCACTTCACATTTCTCCACATTAAACTTCATCTCCACGTGTCGGCCCATTTCCCAGTCTGTCTGTGTCCTCGTGCAGTCTGTGACTATCCTCCTCACTGTTTACTACTTTTCCTCGCTTAGCGTCACCTGCAAACTTGGAAATTGTACTCCCTATACCCAAGTCCAGGTCATTTATATAGATCAAAACCAGCAGTGGTCCCAATACTGACCCCAGGGGGACACCACTGCGTACTTCCTTCCAGTCAGAAAAACAACCATTCACCCCCACTCACTGCTTTCTGTCTCCCAGACAGTTCTGTATCTATGCTGCCACTGTCCCTTTAATATCGTGGACTTCTATTTTGCTTACAAGTTTCTTACGTGGCACTTTATCAAATGCCTTTGGAAAATCCATATAAACTACATCAACTGCACTACCTCCATCCACCCTCTCCATTACTTCATCAAAAAAACTCTTATCAGATTTGTTAGACATGATTTGTCTTTAACAAATCCGGGTTGGCTGTCCTTTATTAAACCATATTTTTCTAATTGAAAATTTATTTGGTCCCGGATGATAGTCTCTAGAAGTTTCCCCACTGTTGACATAAGGCTGACTGGCCTGTAGTTTCCAGGTTTATCCTTCGGCCCCTTTTTATACAGGGGAGTAACAATTGGAACCCTCCAGTCCTCTGCCACCACCCCCCGGTGTCCAAGGAGGATTGAAAGATTGTGGCCAGAGCCTCCGTTATTTCCATGCTACTTCCCTCAGTAACCTAGGATACACCCGTCCAGACCAGCTAACTTATCTGCCTTGAGCACCGACAGCTTTTTTACTACCTTCTCTCGGTTTATTCTTTTCTTATCCAACTTCTGTAACTGTGACATTGGCTGCATTTTCTTCTTTTGTGAAGACAGATGTGAAGTACTCATTCAGTACGTCAGCCATGCCCTCTGCCTCCACAACAAGATTTCCTCTTTGGTCCCTAATTGGACCCACCCTTTTATTCTTTATATGCTTATAAAATACCTTAGGCTTCCCTTTGGCTTCCCTTTTATGTTACCCGCTAATCTTTTCTCACCCAATCTCTTTGCCCCTCTTATTTCCTTTTTCAGTTCTCCTCTGTACTTTTTATATTCTATTTGATTACCTTCTGTATTTTGGACCTGACATTTATCATAAGCCTCCTTTTTCTGTTTTATCTTAATCCCAATTTCTTTATTCATCCAGGGAGGTTAGATGCCCTACCTTTCACCTTTGTGGGAATGTATTTGTTCTGTCCTCAATCTATCTCCTCCTTGAAGGCTTCCCATTGCTCATTAGCTGTTTTACCTACCAATCTTTCTTTCCAGTCCATCTTGGCTGGGTCCCTTTATAACTCACTGAAATTAGCCCTCTTCCAGTTGAGTATCTTGACCTTTGATTGCTCCTTGTCCCTTTCCATAAGTACTCTAAACCGAATGATGTTGTGATCACTTTTGTCCAGATGCTCTCCTACTGAAACCTACTCCACTTGCCCCACGTCATTCCCCAGAACTAGATCCAGCACTGCTTTTTTCCTCACTGGGCTAGAAACATACTGATCCAGAAAGTTATCCTGAACACATTTCAGGAATCCTCCCCCCTCCTTGCTCTTTACACTGTTATTATGCCAATTTATGTTAGGATAATTGAAGTCCCTCATTATCACTACTTCATTGGCTTTGCATCTTTCTGAAATCTGCTTGCAGGTTGGTTTGCTCATGTATCTCCCTCCTGCTATTTGGTGATCTATAGTATACACCTAACAGAGTAACAGCTTCATTTCTGCTCTTTAACTTTAACCAAATAGATTCTGTTTTTGGACCCTCTCGCACATCATCCCTTTCCAGGGCTGCAATCGTGTCTTTAATCAATATTGCCACTCCCCCTCCATTTTATCCTTCCCTATCCCTCCTGAATGCATTGTAGCCAAGTCCCTGACCAACCACCCCCCCCTCCCCCCCACCATTGGTGGGAGAGCCTTCAGCCACTCTGCCCCCAACCTCTGGAATTCCATTCCTCCAATCACTCCGCCTCGCCCCCTCCTTAGCCTCCTTCAAGTCCCACCTCAAGACCCACCTCTTCGACCATGCCATCGGCTACCCCCCTTCCCCTCCTCTCCCTTCTCCCCCACTGACCCAGGTCGGGTCTAAAATGCTGAACACTGCAGCGATAAATGCAAAATTGAAATAACTCATAAATGATAGGAGATACCTGAAAACGAATATGCACATGTCAGACACAAGATCTTTCTGATGAAGTATAAATCATGTTTCTACGTCAATCAGTTATTGAGATCCTTCTTGAAATGCAGACAGACATTATTGTTTTATTAGTATAGAAGAAGATTATTGTTTGTATTTTCCACAAATAATATACTCTCAGATTAATTTTCACCTTGAGTGGAGGTTGCCCAAGATAGTGTACAGTAGTTTAGCATTGCTTATTAAATGGGACAACAGGACATTCGTTCAGGCATGTGGAGGGCCAGTGTGGGAAACACAAGGAATTATTCCTGAAATATTGTCATGGCATCAGTTATTATAAAGGCTGGTAGAGGGACAGGCCTTTGACTCTAATAAGAAACACACAATAATGGGGAGAAAGTAAGGTGGGTATTCTGGAAGCATGAGACCAAATGGGTTGAAAGGATCTTCAATCATACTTTGGAATCTTTCTGCATCACAAATTTTATGCCAATTGCCCATCTGCACCAATTTGGGGGCATTTGCCAGTTGTCTATTTTCGACTAACAAAATTGTCCATTTTCAGCTGAGTAGAAATAAGAGAAAATGATGCATAACAGCTCAAGACGTGACCTGTTCAGTCTCCTGACTACAGAGAACGGGGCTACTGATTAGTTTTTTTGAGGCAACGGAGCAGCCCAAGGATGGAACCTGCTGGTTAAGACATAGTGTTGAATCGGAGACAACAATTGGCAGCTGGATCAGCCAGGAAGATTGAGAAAAGCAGACAAAGAGAAGAGTATCAAGACCTGATCAGCTTCCCAAGAGTCAGCTCAGGAGCAGTTGACATGAAAGAATGATGGCAGACTAAAACAATGGAAAGGAACCAGGAAAACTAAGGTCCAAAGACCAGAACTAACCAGAAAAGAGAGCAAGAGAGTATCACAAGAAACCTGGTGAATTACAAGCTCAAATATAGTTCATTTAATTAATTTCAGTCTCTTACTCACTGCTTTATAACACATTCAACAATCCAATTCATTAAGTTCAATCCTTTTTTAAATTACTCACTGATGTCAATGTTATTTATTTAAATGCATTAGTATTGTAAATAGTTATTAAAAATGAAATCAATGTATTAATTATATGCTGGATCCAGTCAGAAATTGATTTAATTAAATAAAACTGTTTGTATCATTGTTCAATTACTGTAGTATAAAGGTTGCTCAATAATAAAACTCAGTCAGCATTGTGATTTCATTATTAAATCAGTAATTTTATCTTCTGAAGTCTTTATCTAATACTAAGGTATGACTCTGCGTAGAGGTGCCGTCTGCAAGGAGGCTCAGCCACCAATGGTGGGACAGTGGGAGTTTAGAACAAGCAAGTAGACAGAAATGGAGGGTATAGATAGGAAACAACAACTTGCCTTTTTATTGTACCCTTCAAATTGAATAATGTCTTGGAGTGCTTTACATTATAATAATAATCCTTGCATTTGATATAGCGCTTTTCACGTCGGGAGGACATCCCAAAGCGTTTCACAGAACACACTGTAAAGTGAATTGACTGTATATTTGTGGGCGAACGCGGCAGCCAATTGCGTACAGCAATGTCCCACAAACAGTTGTAGATTGAAAATGACCAATTTATTATTG